ATTCCATGATGGTTATTCAGCAGATTAGCTCGTTGACCACTTGTCTCGCGGCGCTCACTGTCGTCCGTGGAGACGCGGTTCAGCCCGGACATCCTGGGCACCGAGCGGTGAGCATGGCCTGAGTGTGCCGTGTCGGCCCAGGGTCGTGACAGGATTAGGACGTCACCCGGGAGTTTTCAGGGGCTGCGTCACCACCCGATGGGAGAAGACCCGCACCGGCCAGCCAACCAGAGGCAAATAGAGATGCGAAGAGACAGGCCGGGCGCGGAGTGGCTCTACACCTGTCATCCCGGCCACTTCTGGAGTTCTTTTTTTTTCGGTGGGCCGAGGCCCGGGGAGGAATCGCTGAGGTCCAGGGTTCAAAACCAGCCTTGAGCATGAGCGAGACCCCTGTTCTACTATAATAGAAAGAAATTATTGGCCAACTAAACTCCTTATATAGACAAAAATGAGCCGGGCGCCGGGTGCGCGCCATGCCTGTAGTCCCAGCTCTCGGGAGGCTGAGCCAGGGAGGATCGCTTGGAGTCCATGGCTTTGAGGTTTTGCCTTTTGGTGCTTGGCCTAGGCTGGCCACGGCACCTCACTCTGGCCTGGGCCACAGGAGTGAGCTTCTGTCTCAAAAAAAAAAAAAAGAAAGAAAGAAGAAACGAAAAGAAGCAGGAGAAGGTGCAGGGGCCGGCTCACCGATGGGGCACTCGCGGACGACGATGGCCAAGGTCATGACCTGCAGGTGGACCCGCGCCCCGCTTCACACTCGCCTTTTGCAGGGGCGGTTGGGCAGGCAGCGCACCCCCCCCCCCCCCCCCTCGGCCCGACAGGAGCGGTCAAGGCTCAGGAACCGCGTCTGCAACTTTCTTGCAGGGCAAACTCAGGTCCTTCCCTGTGATGACGGTCCAGCCCGGGTGCTCTGAGTCCCGGGGCACGGCGGGCTGGGGGGACATTCCGACGCTGTGATGGCGTTCGGGCCCGGGACGGGCTGGAGCCGTTTCGAAGCTCTCTCCGGATTCTGCTCTAGCATCTCGCCAGGTCCTTGGAACGGAGATTGCAAAGGCCGCTTATCTCGCAGCCTCGTTGGCGGCTTGAGGCAGCCAACGGTGGCTTTTACTTGGCCTCGCTGTCGATCTTTAAGCAACGGCCCGGTGGGAAGGCGACCAAAGCTCTGATAATTATATTAAAAGGACTTTGCAGCTCTTTCGCCAGAGGTTCTGTGCCCGCACGGTGAGGCAGGAGTGGATAAAAGGATGGGGGGAAGGGGAACTCTCTTTAGAAAGGGTAGCTGTAGAATTTCCCCATGTGTGCAATCCCGCCTTCTCAAACACCAAACGTCCAGCAGGCCTTTCGTCTCACTCTGCCATTTATTAGCTGCTGAACTTGCAAGCAAATTCTGTAACCTCTTCTGAGCTCGACTTTCGTCCCCCCCGCCCCTTCGAAAAAAAAAAAAATGCAAATATGTCATCTCCATCGTCATGTTGGGAGGACTTAGTGGAATATTAATAATACACCACCATTCTCCTCCTCGGGGAAGGCCGACGGGGAGCGGCAGCCGAGCTCACACGCAACCCAAACGGCGGGCGCGCAATCCCTGCGGCCTCAGCTGGGTCCTACTTCATCCTGACAGCGAGACGTGGCGTACAGGCAATTTGCTAATGAGCATGGAATTGTGTTCATTTATCTTGGTGAATGAACCTATCAATGAATGGACCCTTTAAGCCCCTGGGTTCCAGAACCCCCCTGGATTTTCCGATCATGCTAATTAACTTCAGTCATGTGCCCATCTGTGAACCGGTCGCTGAGGCCGGAGGACAGGAGACACTGATCGTACAGGTGTGGGTCAGGTGCCCACTCATAAATACGGGTGTTTGGGTTCACCCTGGCAAGCCACGTGGCTGAGAGTTCCCAAGGAAAACCAGGAGCCGAGTACCCAAAAACGTGTGAACGTAGCAGGCAGCTGGGAATAACCTGTGTTTGTGACCAGCAAGAACATAATACCATATTTCCCCGAAAATAAGCCCTACCCATACAATAAGCCCTAGCAGGATTTGTGAGCATGTGCGCAATAGAAGCCCCACCCCGAAAATAAGCCTTAGTGGTGGGCGTGGCTATGAAAAATCAGGCCTAGTGATGGGCGTGGCTATGAAAAATCAGGCCTAGTGATGGGCGTGGCTATGAAAATAAGCCCTAGTGATGGGCATGGCTATGAAAATCAGCCCTAGTGATGGGCGTAGCTATGAAAATCAGCCCTAGTGATGGGCGAGGCTATGAAAATCAGCCCTAGTGATGGGCATGGCTATGAAAATCAGCCCTAGTGATGGGCGAGGCCATGAAAAATCAGCCCTAGTGATGGGCATGGCTATGAAAATCAGCCCTAGTGATGGGCATGGCCATGAAAATCAGCCCTAGTGATGGGCATGGCCATGAAAATCAGCCCTAGTGATGGGCGAGGCTATGAAAATCAGCCCTAGTGATGGGCATGGCCATGAAAATCAGCCCTAGTGATGGGCGTGGCTATGAAAATCAGCCCTAGTGATGGGCATGGCTGTGCAGCTCATCTGCACAACCCATGCGTGTCGTCGTGGAGCGAGAAAGAACACGAGCAGCCCTTCTCATCCGCCCAGTGAGAGCTCTAGTGCTCCACAGGAGAGATGGGCCAGTGGCCCTAAAGGAAATAGAGTCACAAGACATTCAGGATGGGATTCGGGGTCTGGAGAGTGAGGATGATGTTCCAGAAGAAGACGACTTCACTCTGTTTGAATCAAGGGCGATGGTTGTGGTGCTCAAAAATAATAATAATAATAATAACGCATCCCCTGAAAATAAGCCCTAGGGTGTACTCTTGGGGACAATTAAATGTAAGACCCTGTCTTATTTTCGGGGAAACAAGGTACCTCCTCTCAAGAACCTGGGGAGGCCGGTAAATCTATGTGCAACCGTAGCACCCTGTGATAGGGGAGGTAGAAACACACGGGGGCGCTGGGGCCTAAGGAAGGGACGTCGGATCTGAAGGGAGTGTGAGAAGCATTTCCCAGAGGAGATGGCATCCAAGCCGAGCCCAAGAGCAAGCGACTCCCAGCAGAGAGGGGTGGGGCCAGGAGGAAGTGTCAGGGAGACAGGAAACGTGTGCGCAGCGGGTAGAAGAAGGAGCAGGGTGAATCTGGAGGTTTGAAAGTAGCTCGGGAGAAAGAGGAGGCCAGTCCAGGCAAGCGTCACAGCATGGAGGAGTTTAGGGCAGCGTTGGGTGTGTCATTCTTCCCCCGTGGCAGTGGGGCGCCACGTTTAATGTCTGCCTCACCCGCTCCCAGGCAGCTCGGAGAAATGGGGCACACTTGGAAGGATTTTATTCGTTCGCTTATTGGTTTGCAAAGCTGACATCTTTTCTTTGCTCCTGGCGGGCTGTTTCTCACTGTTTTCCTTCTGCTTCCTGCAGGGGATGGTGCCAATGACGTTAGCATGATACAAGTGGCAGACGTAGGCATAGGGGTCTCGGGTCAAGAAGGCATGCAGGTAAGTGGGTGACACCTCCGGGGTAGAGCGAGACTGTGTGTGGTCAGCCCAGCGGGGTGGCAGACAGGAAGTTATCCATGGATTCATTCATTTATTCATTCAGTGTGTACTAGGCGAATTGTTACAGCATTTTCCGGGGACATTTTAGCTGTGTGGTTTGCCTGTACAGTTTTGTTGGTTTTTTTTAAATCTATTTATTTTTTTTTTGAGACAGAGTCTCACTCTGTTGCCCAGGCTAGAGTGAGTGCCGTGGTGTCAGCCTCGCTCACAGCAAACGCTCAAACTCCTGGCCTCAAGCGGATCTTCCTGCCTCAGCCTTCCCGAGTAGCTGGGACTACAGGCATGCGCCACCATGCCCAGCTTAATTTTTTGTATATATATTTTTAGTTGGCCAATTAATTTATTTCTATTTTATAGTAGAGACAGGGGTCTCGCTCTTGCTCAGGCTGGTCTCGAACTCCTGACCCCGAGCAATCCTCCCACCTCGGCCTCCCAGGGAGTGCTGGGATTTACAGCGTGGGAGCCACCGGCAGCCCGGCGCCTGGTTACGTTTGTTGTTTGAACCTTAATCGGCCACCACCTCTGAACAGTGAAACACACAGGAATAGGAAGTTATGTGTGTCTTCTGTATGTAACATAAACAGGTAGACATGGTGGTAGGAATAGCAACTAATACAAGTGCCAATGTAATAAAATACATTCATAGATTAAAAAATAAGAAAGCTTAATTGCAGATCAAAACATACACACACACACACACACAAATAGCCACAACGACAGCAGCAAACCTATGAACCTAGTCCTTCCTGGACTATCTGGAGTTACCATTCAGCTCCCCAATATGGTCGCAGGGAACCAGGTTTCTCTTGATCGCTACTCGTAATGCAATTTCAGCAAATGAATTGTCCCTAGAATGCAGCCCCCTTAGCAAGAACTCCGCCTTCTGCTATGCAATCCACATCCGCTTCTCAATGATGAGTGTAGTAAGAAGTGATGTAGGGCCCTCGCGGTGGCTCACGCCCCGTCATCCTAGCACTCCAGGAGGCCGAGGCAGGAGGATCGGTAGGTCAGTGAGTTCGGCAGCCTGAGCAAGAGCGAGAGACCCCGTTTCTACTAAAATAGAAAGAAATTTAATTAAATATAGATACAAAAACATTAGCCGGGCATGGTGGCACATACTTGTAGTCCAGCTACTCGGGGGCTGGGCAGGAGGATTGCTGAGCCAGAGTTGGAGGTTGCATTGAGCGAAGCTGGACCACCACGGATCACTCTAGCCGAACAGAGTGAGCTGTCTCAGAAAAAAAAAACACAACCTTTGAATATGTCCGAAGGTCGGCTGCCCGCGACGTGTCTGCTGTGGCACGTTTGATCGTCAGGAGGCACACGTTCTCCTTGTCCCGCAGGCTGTGATGGCAGGACTTGTGCCTTCTCAGTTTCAGACATCTACAGCAAGCTCCTCTTGTGCACGGGACACTGGTGTTACACGCGCCTCTCACACATGTTCTCTACTTTATCTATAAGAAAACGGTAAGGTAACCCAGGTGTCCCTCCGCTTCCGTACCCGTCCTCGAATCCTGTGGCCTCAGGGAGCAAGAGGCGTGTTCCGTTCCAGCTCACTTATGCTATTGATGACGTTCTTTCTCCCGAACGCAACGCAAGGAGCAGTGCTGTTGTCGTTTCGAATGACCTGAGAATGGTTGTTGTTTGGTTCTGAAGCAGAATCGCATAGGCCGGCATTGCTGGCATTTTTTTCTCCCTTGTGCGTTTGAATTAAGTCCTGTCTGGTTCCTTTAAAGTCCATTTTTGCTCCCTACAAAGCTGTGACAAGCAGAAGGATGAAATGTTTAATGCAGTAGAAAGTGAAAAAGCTTTGCTTCCGTTTTACTGCCAATGCCAAAAGAAAATCTGCTTTTCCCCCCAAAGTAATGTTCTCTGTGGTATATTAATGACACAGATACAGATGAAAACCCGGTCTGATGCTCATCCTGTAGCTGGCTGCAGCTCACAGATGCAGGACTTGTCTGGCCAGCCTGCACAACGCATTTGGGCTTGGTAGTTATTTGACGGTAAAGGGAATTTATCTTGATTATTCCATTCCTAACGGGGCCAAATTGGATTAGAATCCCTGGCTTCTAATCTTCAGCGTACCATTGAAATCTCAGTTTCCCTTTTTATAAAATGGTATTCATTTAAGTCTCTTCTAAATGTGATCATTGTGAAAGCATATCATGATTTTTGGGTCCGATTCATCCTTGGTCTTTAAAGTCCCATATGTTGTATATCAGTAGTAGACATGCATTTACATTATAAAATTATTATAAAATACCATCTTTAGGGAAATAAAAATAACAAGTCATTTTTAGGACATCTCAGATGTGCAGTTTAGATCTCTCTGTGTGTATGTTTGTCCACCAAAGCAATTTTTTTCCTGTATCATAATGAACTTTTCAGGGAACTCTCAGTATTTTGTTA